TTTCCTAATGAATTCATGCTAAAAACTGTTAAAATTCTCAGCTATAGAATGAACGGTACAGGTTTCGGGGCACCGCCCTTTCACTCGAGGGGTACTGTTCCAGAATTTTCGCGTGCCAAATTTCATTGCGTGATCAGATTTCAACCCAAAAGCGGCTGCCTTGCTTTCAAGGTAGTGCAGGCAGAGACATCGACGTCTACCTAATTGTAGCCTAGTACCATATTAATGAAACCTGAGCAGCTACTATTTCAGTAGGCCTAGGTCTGTGGGAGTTGCGGATGGCTTGGGCTCTGCTATGATGCTGGGTTTTCCTAGTGGCAATTAACTTCATCCGAATAGTGAGATATGGTTGGTTTTTATGGGATTTCTGCGTCTGGATCTTTCACAGCCGTTCCTGTTTTTTCTTAGGCTTTTTGAGCGGTGCACTTCCAAAATCCATTCTTATTGTTTATTTTCTAAAATGAAGCTTGGTGAATGAGTAATGTTTTGCATGGTTTGGCCTATTCTTACCTCAGTGTGGGGTTGTTGATAATTTTGAGTTGAGGTAAGGTCGAGCTGAAACCCTCACCGCATTGCTTATATATTTTCTTTCTATCGTTTTTTTCTTTCTAAAGCCGTACCTTACGTTAGTCAACGTTTCGTTATTGTGATTTCTTAGTTAGTTTCTGTCGCTTGTTCAATTTTTAATCTCATTCTTTTTTTTCAACTAGGTCAAGTTCCATTAAATTAAGGTATTATCGTGTTCTTAATGCTTGTCAGGACTTACGATGTCTTCCTCTCAGAGAACGTTGTATGAGTTCTGAATTTGTTGTCTTCTCATCATTTGGGACGGATTTTATTGTTGTGATACATAAATAAATTATTCAATATTAGCCAACTTATGCAGTAGCGGTAGTACAAACCGGTTAATATTGGCCAGTTACAGTTGGTTTTCTTTTTTAGTTAGCATTGCATCGTGTTCTATTGGGCCGTTAGCTCTCGGAATCCAGAAGTTTACTGATTGTTTTCTTTCTTTGTTGAGAAGCTGTAAGTTGAGTTAGTTGTTCACTGTTGAATGCGTCTTCCCATCATTTATCTTGCATATTTCGACCTCTAGAAGTCCCTAGTTTTTTTTTTGCAGCGATGGATTTGTTCGTATTTTGGTCACTAGGGGCGAGTTCATAGTCTATCGTCCGATCGCATAAGCCGCGGTCGCATAGGGGAGGTGACGTGGTTACCCAGTGCAAACCGAAACCACGCGTGACTGCGCGTCACGGTTTTTCAAAAGTCCAGAGGCCGTAAGATATGCTTACCCGAGTGGTTGAGGGACGAAAATCCCTTAAATTTTTTTTTTTTGAACGATACTGTTTCTTCATTTTCAGTGCATGTTTACTTTAAGCCTACACACATATATTAAATGTAGGCCCTTTATCAGGACAATCCCAGTTGGGAAGACAGAGAAAATTTAAGGGATTTTCGTACTATAACCCTTCGGAGAAGCACACCTTACGACCTCGAATGGAGTAGTAGACATGTATCGATTCGCAACGACCATAACGATAGTCAGGATCGCATTTGTCGCACGTAAGACGATGGATACGATCTGTCGCATCTAATGCTGTGCGATCGTTACGACCGGACGAACGACTACGCATTCGCCCTAAGATACGGCCCCGCCATGGGGCCGTACGCCGTGAAAAAGTTTCGCGATACGCGCAGCGAAAATGTGGCTATTTTCTAGCGACCAAACTCCGAACAAGCCTGCTTTGCTGCAAATTCAAGTATGAAGCAAAAACGAAAAGTAAGTGGCTTTCTGCCCTATCGACTCCTACTCGGCTTGTCCAGTAGTGCTCCTCGAATTAAAATCCTGAACCTGACCTTGTCTGACAGCTGTGTGCGCTGCCAGCAGTGATAGCATTCGTTTAGGGCTTCACAGATTCACCTGAGCTGTTTCAGCGAATTTTTGGTATTTTAGTACAAAGAGCGGTCTACATTATTTGCCATCATTTGCAGCGATTAGCTGCAACGGAGGTAGTTGTGGGATTGTTGGAAAGCGCAGGGGAGGCGGAGCGGGCAGTCCGACCCGGCAGTCCGACCCTTTGTTAACTTGTTTGCTCATCCATTCTCGCTCTACTTTTTTTCAACAACTGAACTCAGCAACAATTTTGACACGATTGTATTCAAATCGCTTCAAGTACACATACACACAATAATCACGCATGCGATGTGCGCATTCATTACAATAATGCAACAGTTGTGCACATGGTTAAGAGCCAGATCGCTGATTGATGTAAACATGGCAAGTGTGTGCCGTTACGGTCTCATTGATAGGTCAGGTTCCGGAAGCTGTTTGGGTTATATTCCACTAATACTACCCAAAATCTCAGGTTTTTTATTTCTTACAGAGGTAATTCTTGTCATGATTATGGATGTGATATTCATTTTAGGGGCTGGCGTCAATTTGTCATGACAACTGTTTTCCCCAAATTCGGTGTAAACAGGTGTATAGGGGTTATTCGATATCGTGAGTGTATATACGGCACTCAATTCTGGCGCTGGCGCTATATTCTGCACCCTCTCACAGATTAGACGCTCAGGGCTAAGCCATTGGGGAGAGGAGGGCTCATAGGTGAGCAAGCCTGTCACCTTTTCATCTCACACACTTCATCTTTTGCCACACGATGCATTCAGCCACGGCCTCCTCTATAGGCTTAGCCTGGGCACTAAGTAGGAGAGCCCAGTTTAGCAGAAAATGTACGCCAGACAGCCCAATTTTCTATAACCTAATTTTTTAGCTAACCTCACCGTCCACAAACACCCGCCATGGACACCCCAATATCTCCGAATCTATTCATCACCATGGTTCATCTGTTGCTTGTCGGTTTGGTGGTGTTGGTACAGTGCGGTGGTAAGAAGAAACCAGACGCTGCCGCTGCTGGTGGTGGTGGCGCCGCTGCTCCAGCAGCCGCAGGCGGTGAGAAGAAGGAGGGCGAAGGCGAAAAGAAAGAGGAGTAACTATCAGAGATCTCAGACAACCGGCCACCTCAATAACACGTTCAATTTGGGCGTGTTGTGCTTTGTCGCGTGATTGGGTAAACGTCTGCTACTCGGATTATTTCACGATCCAATAAAGGCTACACCGACTAAAAAAATAACCAATATCGTTTATCACCTATATACAAATTTGCACAAAAAACGGCCGTCGTGGCGGAATGGCGTGTTCTGGCGCTAAATGGCATTGGCATCCAAAATGAATATCATATTTGTAATCACAGAGTCTAATTACCTCTGTAGAAAAGCTTCGATGAAAAATGAAATTTTGATATTTTGGGCAGTAATAGTGGAGTAGTGCCGCAGTTGAAGTCATCATCGCACTTTCTCGCTACAAATTTGCTAGTCACCCTCAGAAGTCGTGATGTCATTGCAATAAGAACGTCGTAACAACTTCAGAAGTTGACCAAAGAATCGGAGAGGAGTGAATATATGCCAGGGTCATGGTCGCAGAATCAGAGTTGTATTCTCGTCCTCGGAAAAATTTTTATTTCCGATTTGCGTATAGCGAGCTCCTAAGGCTACCGACTGCCCGAGTAACCTTATTTTGCGGAGTGCGCTTTGTGATTAGGCGCTCTTGTTCTCTTTCTCAAAACGTTTCGCGTTGAAGTGAGTACTTGCTTAACGTATGATTTCTTGTTTTCGGATTCTTAGAATAAAGCTCATATTTACAGTATGCCAGATGTCTTCACTCTATCCAGATGAGAGTTATTGCACGAGTGATATTGGACGTCTGCTCTTCCAGCCAAAAAACGAATGGGCTGCTTCAGGAAAGGTAGTCGATGTCATCGAGGTGAAGCAGATTGCTGGTACCCATATTGACTATCAGATTGAAATAAAAGTGAGTGTTTCTGGTGTTATTCATAGTTTCTAACTTAATGTCAATGCGTTTACTATGATGTTTTATTTTGTTTTTATGGAAGGGAGAATAGCAGTTGTTGCTGATGAAACAAGACGGTCATTCAGGTTGAAGCTGTAGCTGAGACTGTCTTTCCCGATATTTTTCTTTCTTTTTTTGAGGCTTCAGGTTCAAAACCTTGACACATTTTCGTACAAGCATTTTGCCTGCAACAAACGAAAGGAGGGAATACTTGCTTGACTTCGCTTGTTCGATTTCATGATCAAACAGCGGCCTAAAGACGAATCAAGAAAAGTGGGAAGGAATTGATGCATCGTTTGTGCGGGCTCTTGATAACTCCAGTTTTCCTTTCGGAGAAGAATCTTCGGGGTGCGTAACGATTCTTCTGCGCATTTTAATAAGGTAAACATAGCGTTTTTTGAGCGTTTGCAAAGGAGGAAAATGTTCACCGTGGTATTGAATGCGTTGGGCGCTCTGCACCAAACTGCCCTTTCTCATTTTTGCAAATTCCTAAATTCCGGTAATGATCAAGTGATTGGTGGAGGATAGGATCTTACCAACAAAGCAGTCCCGAACAACATCATTTGACATTGTCGTAATTTTGTAATTAGTATGTGAATCATTCATTTCAGTGCGTACCGCGTAATAGCATCGAACTGGACGATCGGTTTTTCGTGTTGACATCTAGATTCCGTGAACTAAATCGCCTTCATATCAACTTATCAAAACTACACAAGCAAGTGAGTAATGATATTCCTCTTGTACGCAACGCTTTTTTTTACAAGTAATCTGAAGGCCTAAGTATGTTAACGGATATTGTTGTGTTGATATATTAATGTGTCAAATTATTATTCAGCTTTACCTGCGAGGGTTATTTCCCACAGTTTGCTGCTCCTCGCTTACTAGGCAGCTGTGATCCTGCAGTGATAGCGGAACGTCGGCGTAGTATTGACGAGTTCCTTACATTCATTCTTGATAGCGAAGTTTTGGCGGAAAGCTCGGGTGCTCCAGGAATGGTTGGAGGTAAGACGCCTAGCTAGTATTTGTTTTTTGCTTTCTCTCTTTTTTTGAAGGCATACTTTCTCTTAGCATGACTGATGTAGATGTAAGCTTAGCCCTTTCAACCGCAATTTCTAGAAAGCCGTGGAACGACCAAATGTCGGTCATGCTGCGACTCCAAATTCTTTCTATATGAAGGAGTGAATATCCTGGATGCGCCAAATATGTAAGTGTCGTTACATTTACGAGCGGTTCACATTCGGTCTTATTTTCGCATTCTTACTGGTAATTACCGGGAGTATAATAGTGCACCCCTCGACGATTGTATAGTATGGGCCCTTTTCCTAAAGTAGTGTATTGATAGGTCTACCAGTAATGTAAGAAAGCTTACCTCCTCTCCTTTCCCCAAACGCTTGAATCACATTGCATGCTGATCATATGGCGGATCGCAGTTCTTTCGAGAGTCTCCATGAGTGACGGCATATTTCAAAAATCTGAGCCCTTTTTGATCTATTTGGTTAAAAGTACCTTTTCCTACTTTTTGCGCCCTGTCCATTTCCTCATTGAATAGTTTCATAACGGGGCTGTTTTTTTTTTACAAGGATAGGTATCTTCATAACATACGACTTTCTTTTTTGTTGTTTGTTCGAAATGTATTAGGTATCACTAATGATAGTATTGAATTGAGCTGACTCTTAAGTGAATTTTTATTTATATTATTTTGGATCAATGGTGGAAGAAAAGCGGAAAGCTTCAGGAGTCAGTGGCTTTTGTCACGGCTTTCATCTTGAAAAGGACTTTTTGAGATAGAACAGCTTCGTAAGTGGGTTGGAACCTGAATGAAAAAAAAGGAACGGAAGAGTCGTTCATACTGACCAGCCAGTCCTGCCTAAAGAACAAGTGCCTTCATTCTAGAGAGTTTCTGATTTCATGCATTTTTAGAGTCGACCAGAATGGTGACTCATCGCGAGTGCTGGTTCCTGAAAGCATCCCACCTCCAGTCAGTCCACCTTCTTAAATTTCTGCCCAGATATTAGAGAGATATGAACTTTTATCGCTTGCCTTTTTACAATTAGTCATGAGCTGTGTGACACCTTGGTTGCTCAATAAATAAAGATAGTTTGCTTTCATTCGTTCGGCTGTAACGAGCTCAATGTTTCCGTTCTTTGACACATTAACAGTTTTTCATGTTTGTATTGATTCCCTATAGTTTTGAATCACAATAATCGATATCCTACCAGTTAGTGTCAAAGGGGGCGAATTAACGAGCCTATTCATCGTCGCTGTTTCATTGTTAACTATACATTTTGTTATGATAAAAGTTCAGGAAAACAGTTACACGGAAGCAAGCGTAGGATTGCACGCATCCGCATCAGCTGGCGAGTTTCAGTTTCCTGATGTTGTCATTAGTGAGTCGTATACGTTATAAAGATATGTTACTAACACGGCATGATACATCAATGGTTGTGGCCATTCCTACTGCTAATGAGTAACATTTGCTCCATGAAGATATGTTATAAATATAACTGTATTTTAGACACGAATGAGCCTGCGGCAGAAATTTCCCATAGACATCGTCGTAAACCGTCTATGATGGAGAGACTGTTTCCAAAACTCTCAGCGTCTAATCAATATTCTTTTCAAAGTTTGTTTTTCTTTTTCATTCTTTGAAAATAGTGCACTAGTTCATAATTGTGTGTGATAATTTACAATTTTTTTCCTTTCGCAGTGGCGACAGCCAAATGTTGACGCCGTTGTGGATTCTGTGTGAGGCTGATTTATTAATTACTGTGTTTCAATTCTTCAGTGCCGCCTTCTGTGGAAAACAGTGACTATCTTGTTCACGCTGCTCATTTGGTGTCAACTGCTCAACGAGCCGAACACGAGCATGCGTACGAGCTAGCTTTCCCAGTGCTACAAAAATGCTGCCAGTAGCCTCATTCAGGTAATTTTCTACCTGTAGCTCTTCATTTTTTTCTTTTTGTATCCTTTCTATGCCAGTACTACTAGCTTGCTGGTGAACCACTAAAAGCAATTCAAACGTTTTTTTTTTACATCGCCTTGCTTGTTTCCTGTCGCTCTATTTTTTCCTTCCCAGGAGAGGTGTCTAATTTGTTTTCTCTCAGGGTATTCAACACGAATCAGACATGTCTCGGCGTAACGCAGTCCGTCGCAAAACCGCAAAATATTTGGTGGCTGCTGAACGGCTCTACCGCACTCATTTGGCATATGACGGAGCGGCTGCAACGGTGAACTTAGAGTCTCTCGTGGACTCGACTATGTCGGTAGGTCTACCGTTGATCTTTTGACAGTTTTTCTGTTGCATAGTTTAGTGGCGACCAAAGCCAGTGGAGTCGAAAATCCAAAATTGAGCTGAGCGATCAAACGCTTGAGTGGCGGAGTTTTTTTTCCGAAGATTGCGTTATTCCCTTTTGGCATGAAGATGAAATAGATTTAAGAGTTGATAAAGTCATTACTTATTGCTAGTGAAATTGCTTTCTGATAAGGTATTTAGGGCATAGGTATTCAGGGATAGGGTATTATTTGCTAACCAGAACGGCACGACTCACAAGCTCACGAGTTTCTTACTAAGCATGTTTTCTTTGTAATGGGAAGTATACATTTTGGCAGAATAACTCTCGCTTCAGCGAAGAGGTGTGTCTTGCTCGTTTTTACTTAGCAGGGCCCATAATGTGATGTGGCGCCAAGAAAATAATGACACTTGAGTTCCAGTGCCCCTTCAGTAAACATTACCAAAATTCATCCATTTTTTAGGATCCTGGATGTACTAGCGTTCCAATGTGCAAACAACTGTCTGAAAAACTATCGCGTTGTCGGTGTTATTCCTAATTTGAACGCTCCCAAATGGGTGCTCAAAGTTGAGGAGAAATCCACTGGTAGGTCTTTCCAGTTCCCATACTTTGAGTCGCACATCTAATATTGGTTTTTGGCTTTGTTGTAAGTGCGCGGCGGGAAGGCTGGAAAGTCAAAGACAATGCGGCTTATTCATTCTCTCAGAGATCTGCTTTTTTGTGAATCGTAATTGATGGATCTCCGCCCCAAGTCTCTTATTTCGTCCGTCTTTGCTGGCTACTTCACTGCTTCTTCCCGCAAATAACGAACCATTTGATCTTCGATTAAGACTTCATGTAGCCAATCTGCCTCATGACTTTGTGCGCCTGCGTTCTTCATCGGTACACTCACTCCACAATCTCATCCTGTCGCTCGTTCTCTTCTTACTCTCCTCCCGCTCTACCTCCCTTCATCATTTCCTTTTTCTTCTTGCGAGCCCTCACAGTCTTATAGTGAAAAGGAATTGCCTTGAACATCATGTTCTAGCAGTGACTGAAGTCCGTTGCTTCAGGGAGAACGTTTGTCATGAAGCTACTCGAAAAAGGCGCTCGCACATCAGGAAGTCGCGTGCTTCTGCCTACGAACGTCCCACATATGGTGCAGCTCCACCAGTTTTTCGAGACAGAAACTTTCATTATTCTGGTGCTTGATTATGTTGAGTGCGGCATGTTATGGATTTCTAGGTAAGATTTCAGAGCATGTTTCACATCAAACTGAGGTTAATTCTATGCTTTTCCAGATACGTTACTTCAGTGAGTCGGAGAGGCGATTTCTGCTCACATTAGCAGCGAGTGGTGCAGAAGTGAGCTGTGATGTTGAAGCTCAACAAACAAAATTGGATTCGATGGATTGCTATCGAGGTTTGAAATCAATTGTAAGTTAAAACATGATGTTTACAAACTTTTAGCGGATTCTAGGCCGTCGGCTTCACTTTTCTGTTGGAGTTGATTTCGAGAGAGTTGCTGAAATGCGTGACGAGACGCATAGTGTGAGCACTAGAACAAAAATTTGTTTTTTTTTTCTAAGACTTTGCATTGTCTGATTAGTTCATGGTTTCAGAACGATGTTCCTTCCGTGTCTGGAGTCTGTACCATGGGTGAGGATGCCACAGGAGCTTCCAGAGCTCCAGAAGGTGCGACTGTATTCTCGTCTTATGAGCTCGTTTTTGTGTAAAACTAAGTCATCAATTTTGCTTATCACTCCGTGCTTTTCAATGGCCGAAGATACGTCATAGATTTGCTTTAGGTGATTTCTACGTGATTGAAGATACCGGCGTTGAGCGATTATCAATACATGATGAAGAATCACCTGCCACAGTTAAGTTGCCTTGTCGGCAAAGTGATGATAAATCAAGTGACGGTGAGTGTCGGTTTTCTTATTTCAGAATAGCTTGTACAGCTTATAAAAAGCTGATTCGACATGCGCAAAGGTTGATTTCACCCACCATCACTTACTCAAATCAGTTTTTCTTTGGATGGCGTCCTGCTGAAGTTGTAATAAATCGTGGCTAGTTTTTGGAACCTAATTTACTTTCTCTCATGGGGTTGCTTTTTAACTATGTCGACTTCCTTTATTTACTTGTGGAATGCCTCAGCGTTGTGTCCTATGCGACCAAGTTTTACTGTTTGGTCGTGTTAGCATATGCGCCACACGAAGCAGTTACTTGGCTACCAAGGAAGCGAAGTGTGGCGCTTCCACAACGAAAGGTGCGCTGGTTGCTGAGCAGGACTTCGAAAGCACTCCGCCCCCAAAAGCGATCCGCCCACTAGTTTACACGAGCTGCGTGGCCAGCAGCGGCGCAAATGGAGCATCTCGATCAAAGCGTGTGTTTGGCATGGTGCCATCAAACGCGTTGCGGTGAACTCGTTCATATCTCCATTTTCTGAGCCGTTAGGCTGGTGTCAGAGTCCGCGATCAGTCGCTGATTTGCGCGATTTGCGCGATTCACGCGACGGGTCACGGAAATCACAAGTGCCCGATCAATACTGCAAGGTGTTCTCCAATCCTGCCGCCACTTCTGCTTGATAGTGATGGCTGAATGACGACTGCTCATGATTCCACTTGTTTCATATTCAGTGTTTCAAATGTTCAAATGGGGCACTTGCAATTTTTGCGATCCGTCGCAGGTTTCGCGAAAATCAGCGAAACGGATTCGCGGACTC